TATATATATAATGTGATATTTATTTGGTGGTGGTGTTTTTTTCTTGCTACACATGAGCCTTAGGAATCAGATGTGACCCTCTCAAAACCTGTGTAGAGGGTAACAAAAGTGCTGTAATTGCAAGCACTTTATGGCGAGTACCTGTTCTCCAATCTCTGTTTCCCTATTAAACCCCAGAAGGCTTAGTCCTGAACTACAGCCCAAGTCATCACTAAGCCCAGCTAGATTGGAGCCAGGGCCTCTACTGGCCACTGAATTGTGAAATGACAATATTGGGGTTGATTGCCGGCTTGGTTAGAAGTGGTGGCCTGCAATGTATGGCCTACAGAGGGACTGCTGCACACGTACCTTTCATCAGTATTGTTATCCTAGACGCTTTCTTCTTGGCAAGTAAAAGAGTGAAAAGATGCATAGCAACAAAGGTCTTTTAATCAAGGTCACTCACCAAAAGAATGTAACCTATCCTTAAAGCCAATGTTTATGCAGCTCAGATTTTCATGTTTAGTTACATTGCTCTTCATTTCAGTGAAAATAGCCTGGAAGAGAGCGGTGCGCGGTGTGCGTGAGATGTGTGATGCCTGTGAAGCCACCTTGTTTAACATCCACTGGGTCTGCCAGAAATGTGGATTTGTGGTCTGTCTGGATTGTTACAAAGCGAAGGAACGGAAAAGTTCTCGAGGTTAGTACGCATGAAGCACTCCATTCTGTGCTGTGTTTACCCTGCCTTCCCCCAGAAATGCTTAGCCAGCAGACTTGTTCTAGCTGGTGAATTGCTATTTTTGTGCTGGAGAAACTCCCCTTCAGTGATTACAGCAAGCAGTTTCACAACTTCCCTTTCAGTCTACATGCAGCTCACTCTCAGATGGAGCTCTCCTGTTTCATGCTTATGTGAGAAGAAGATTGAAGTGTGGACATATTTAGCAGGGTTCGGCTCAGGGAGAAGGGGGCCGAGCTCAGCTATAAGCCACAGTTATCAATGCCATGATTTAAACCGTCTTCCTCCAAAAAGCAAGATACTGCTACCCTATAAAGAATACAGTGTATGTGTGGTTTGGAATAGGGCCCAATTACAGTATAAGGAGGCTCACAGCACATTCACCCTGGCTAGGCAGGAAGTGAACACAAACTGCAACTCAGACTGAAATGTTCATTGCATAAAGAGACATCCTGAATAACCTAATACATACAAACATATCCATAGCATGACATAACTATATATAAATATATGTACTAGGCATACATCTGTATACGCATATAAATGGCTCTTTCTTTTAAGTGATAACACCGTTCATTAGCTGAACAGGAATGATATGGCTCGATACTGAGCTGTAGAAATTTGGTGGAATTGACCAATAATGTGTATGGTTATCTGTACCCTTGCACACAGTTTTTCTGGCAAAGGAAATCCTAAAATATCCTTTTTAAGTAATATTAGCTGCTATTTGTGTACCCTGTCTGTTCTGTGAACCCTTCTAACCTCAAAAGTGACCTCACAGCCTAATTTAATTAAAGCAGAATAAATAAATGGTATCTTCGGATCAGCATATTTTACAAATAAATCACTTTGCTTTTTGATGGCATTTGAGAATTTTAATCAGATTAAAACATAAATCCATACTATGGTAAGGAGAATTGATTTTATCTCCATAAATTTAATGACCCATGAATTCTGTCAGAGTGACACTAACAAATGGTTAAAGAGCATCCTCTGCCCAGACCAACAGTTTAAATTACCTGTCAAAACAGGGATGATTTAGTGATAACATCACAGCACAGCATGTCCACTTTATAACCTTGAAAGGGTGTTAATTGACCCGTGGTCGGCATCAAGAAATGGAAGGTTTTAAAAAAAAAATATTTCTGGCTTCTGATATTTAACTCTTAAAAGTAACTAGTCCTTAAAATGCATGTTCTCAATTCAATTCATGAGTCTTTTAGGAACCATGGATATTGTCACGACAGGATATTAAATGTTGCCTGTTATCTGGCCGTGTTTTGCTGGTTGGTGGAATTTACGTAGGTTCCGTAGTTTCCTGAACCAGATGTGCTGAGACTCTGAGTTTGTTGACTGAGCCAGCACATTCCTAGATGGAGTATGGGACTAGGTTCTCCCCTTGAGGGCACTGTGAAAAAGATTGTGATGGCAGGTCATGTATCATGCTACTGTTTTCCCCACTGCAGACAGAGACAGGATGATTGCTAGGTTACTGCAAAGGAACAGGAATGTCTAAGGTAAAGTTTGTTTTTTGATTTGCTTTTATTACAAATTACAGAAAATGTGTTTTTTGTAGATAAGGAACTGTATACTTGGCTGAAATGTGTAAAGGGTCAACCGCATGATTACAAGCACCTAATGCCCACACAGATTATTCCAGGCTCAGGTAAGACATATTGAACATGTAATATCCCTATTTGCTATGTATGAATCAGACCATATAAAGGGAAACTCTTTTGATTAAAAAAAAATTGTATTGCGAACATTGAAAGGGTTTGTAGATGTCTGCTTGCTAGATATATTACGTTTTGTGTGCAATATTCATATTTAGATGCTTTACAGGGGAGCGGAGACCAATGCAGAGCTTGCGCTCCCCCTCAATGATTACTTATCTACCAACATCAGGTACCAGGGTGTAGACACTTATACTGAAATGATAAGACTTTGTTAGACAGATATCAGCTCAGCTATACGCATTTTAAGCTCTTCTTCAGCTAGCAGGAAATTGGAATTGAAGCAGCAACACATCATTTGTACTGTCTCTCTGTTACAGTATACATGTAATTAATAGGTCCTGCATTCCATCTGGAACTGGTTTTCATAATAGCTCAGTGTTCTGCACCATTTGTTTAGAGACAATAAGTGAAAAACCTGCTAAATATCTTCTACTTTGTTTTAGTTCTGACTGACCTCCTTGAAGCAATGCACACCCTCCGAGACAGATTTGGGATTAGGTCACACTGTCAGTGTGCCATTAAACTGAATTTACAGGTCAGCAAGCTACCTACACTGAATGGTGTATCACAGGTGAGGCTGTTTAATAGGAACCTTTAGACATACCTAACATGCATGCCCATGAACAATGTCTGAAGACATTTTCTTTTCTTTTTGGTCTCATTTATAGTGGGAAAGGGTCAAACCTCTTGTATGTCCGTGAAGGTTCTCATTCATCCAGGTTATGGTATATCTGTAAAAAATAAGTCAAGGCAACTGGACTTGTTTTTGTATTTTTCTTGAAGACGTTTCACTGGTCATCCAACCTATGGTTGGATGACCAGTGAAACGTCATCAAGAAAAATATAACAAGTCCAGTTGCCTTGACTTATTTTTTTACAGATAGGTCAAACCTCTTGTCGGTTTTTACTGCCCTCTGTGACCTAATTGGGTAGCAGGCATAAATCCAAACACTTGTTTTTAGTAGAGTAGGGAAACGCTAAAGCCCCCAATGGATTTTCATTGTTGTCTGGCAGTGAAGATTTTCCCTCACTTCCACACTGTCAACAAGATGGGGAAAATATCCCCAATGAGGCTTCACATGACAAAAAACCTGGCAGAGGTTCGAACGCTTTCCCAATCTATCCAAGATCAAGAAGACAAAGTGCTGGCTGGATTTCCACTTTAACCAGTCACATTCATTTAGTCTTACTGGCGGTGATATTATACAGAATGGAACACAGTTCTTGGACACGTTGTTAACGTTTTTCCTTAATAGTTTCAAGACCCGTTTATTTTTCTTCTCCATCTGTGATTATTGAGGCTTGTGACATTGTACTGGATCCTACCTCACTCTTTGTCATCTTGACAAATACATGTGTCCATAATAGCTCAGAAATCTTTGTGGCATTGCTGCATCTTTGAAACTGAATATTTTGGGGGGGTCAAGACTGTGTTTAAAGCATTGGATTCTGGTTTAGGCATTATTGGCACCTTTTATGGAGATTTTACCTAAATTGGTGGTTTGAAATCCTGATGACCAATTTATCACCTCCACATAATCAGTTATCTTAAAGCCCAACTCTAGCCAGAACTTTCTGGCTAAAAAGCACAGTTCCCGTATCTATTGACTCTTCTGATGTTATGCATTGTTAACAATGTGTATATGTACTCTGTCCAAATGTAAAGCACAATGAGATATGATAGCGCAATATACATATAGGTTTGAAGGTGTTGGGAGAACGAGAGGGCAACACCAAAGGTTTTAGGAGTCCAAGAGTGTTTATTTCATCCTGGTCCAAAAACAAAAGGCCAATGCATTTCAGGGGCAATAAGATTTCTTTTATCAGGGCTTAACCCCTTCATGACTGAGGCCCTTTTTTCAATTTTTGCACCCATGTTATATTCCACATTTTAGGCCTGAAAATGACGTAAAACCCCCCAACATTATATATTTTCTGAATGCCAAGACCCTATAGAATAAAAGGTTGAATAGAATCTTTTGGGTAAGTGGAGGGTTACCTTAACTCTGAAATAAACAGGCTCTCTTATCTCAAAAGCTTGCCTCTCAGCTGGCTGTGTAGGGAACAGAGCTATTGTACGCTACAGTATGGACTTCTCTTTGCACTGAAGAACCAAACCAATTTCGCATTCAGGGCCTCCCACCTACACTTGCAAATAAAAGATGACCGCTTTGATGTAATTTTTTTTCTATGATAACAAGTCTTACTGTTTAGGTTTCTGTTTTTGTCAGCCATGTATCATTAGACAAACATATTTACTTGTATTCCCATAATGACCTCACTCTGTTTGCGTCCTATTCCGGAGCTTGAAAGATCCCTCTATTTTACGTGCAAAAAGGGATCTATGCGATAATGTTCTATCAATCTGATTTACTTGATCAGTTTTCAAACCTAGACTGTAGAAATGTCACTTTATAATGAGTTATTTGCTGTGGGCAACAGGAACTTGTCTATTTAAACACTTTTCATACATAAAACATTCCATGAGTAATGCCCTTCCATTTGCTTACCTAGGTGTTTTGAGCCTGTAGACAAGGTGGAGCTGTTACTGATCTGACATGACTATTCAATGTTTTAGGTGCTGCAGAATGTCCTCAACCATAGTAACAAGATATCTCTCAGCTTGCCTGAATCACAGCAACAGAACGCTTCCCAAAAGCCCGAAACCAACGGTAATGTGAGCCCAGGAAGTGACAGCAGCATGGACAGTAAACTGGCTTCTCCAGAATCTCATTCCTCACTTCACTGGCTAGCAGACCTGGCTGAACAGAAGGCCAGAGAAGAGAAGAAGGGTGAGTCTACAAATCTAATTGATAACCCTAAAACAAAGATCCCATGTTATGATGGCAATTCCCTTTCACCGGTTGCAGAATTAGAGTTCAGCTACCACTATACCCAATGGAAATTGCTCCCCCGCTAGCCAAATAGCTGCAGAATCTCGTGGCTTCATCTACTTTGGGAAGGGGGGGTCGGTTACAACATAGGAGAAGGTGTGTCGACCTTATGTGTTGCATTAATGTAGCTTATTCATTTTGAGTGGGCTGGCAACGCATTACCCCACAAGATCGCATAAGAGGTCACATATAAATGTATTAGGCTTGCATAGTGATGAAGAAGTGTGAATATTCAGATTCATGTGTAAGCCCGTTGTGACTGGACCTCTTCAACGCACACATGAGATATCTGTGTAGCTATTTTCTCATACTCGTGTTACTTTAAAGTGGACCTTTACGCATATCTTTAGAATAACAAGCACAACTTTAGAAATGTTTAGTACAGACTATCTACAAACACATACTTCCAGATAATTGCCGGCTTTGTATTCTTTGCATTCCTTATTTATCTTTTCTTACCCAGTCTTCTCAAAGTGGCCATGTTTACTAAGGGCAGGTTACTAGATCTTCTATTGCTTCCTTGATTTCCAGCATATGTGACCATCTCAGGGGAGGAAAATGCCTTTCCCTGAGATCTCGTGAGATTACAGATGAGATTTTCCAACAATGCTCTGCTGATGTAACCTTCTCAGGATGCATTGTTTTGGCAAACTGAAGTAATTTGCACTTTCAAAGCAGGAAGTGAATGCTCTGCAAGTGTAAGTATTTCAGAATCACCGCATTTTACACCTGACATGTCTATAGTATTATTATTATTATTAATCATCATGCAGAGAGGGATGCATTGGTAGAATTTCATTTTTTAATGTAAAGGTGTAACACCTTCAACCGGTTCTTCATTGTCTTTGCAGAGAATAAACAGTGTCCAGTGGGAAAACATATCAAGGAAGAACCAGAAAGTAATGAAGGTGTAAACTGCAAATCCTCATCACCCACCACTCAGAACATCGAGCAAGGCTCCACCCTAAGAGACCTCTTGACCACCACTGCTGGCAAACTGCGCCTGGGATCCACAGATGCCGGCATTGCCTTTGCCCCTGTTTACTCGGTGGGAAGTCCGGTGAGTGTAAACTACGGCTTTTGAGTTTTGTATCTGCTTTGCAGTATGTTGTACACCAGACTCATGACTTGGCAGGCTGTTTGATATTGCAGAAATCACTGGAAGGTAAGTATGCAACAAGGGGAAATAACTACTTTTGGCAAACAGTTCTCACACATAAGCTCTCTGCCAAAGACAACTCAAGATTTGGAACCAAGCGGCAAACAATGCTGCCTTTTAGTGGTGATACGCAAGTGTGGTATTTAACATTTAATAGACATGGACAAGTAAAATCAAGGGAACTGTGTTCCAGGCAGCCTTCCTACTCCCAGACAACTGTGAGTTTACCTAATCTACCTATCCCTTCCAAAGTGTAGCTGATTTATAGGAGCGGTGACCAATGGAGAAAAAGAACCTTGTAATGCTCAATCAGGTTTACGTTTTTTTTTTTTTTTTTGGTGGCTGTCAAAAGTGTAATTTTGTTTTGAGTTTTGCTCCAAAGTGCACCTGTACTGAGAGAGTCTTGAGGTTGTCATCGCAAGCATCTCCTAAAAATATTGGTTCCCAGGGAATAATGTTCATCCAGTGGCTTCAGTACTTTCTAAGTATTTGCCCAGAGGGCGCACAGACAACAATAAAAACCTGACATTTCCAGTTTTTCCCAGCTCTACCCACAGCTAAAAAAAAATGTTAACTATGCATATACTTTAACTACTGACCTAGAAAATGTTAGTAGAAAACATATAATGTACTTCACGATCCATTTACTACATAGAAAATGTACATGTAGTACACAGGCAGTTCAGACAACATTGTGGACTTTTATCAGATGTAACAATGTGTTGCCCATAGTAGTCAACCAGACTTCAGCTGTGATTAATTCCGGAGCTGCTTGTAAAGTAAAAGTAAATACCCAATGAGTTGGTATGGGTATAATGCCTGCGTTTAAGATCTATAGAAATAAGGCTAACTGAGCTCTTGGCAGTACACTGCAAGATGTCAGAACCTATTTTCTGATCTACAGCAAGTGTGCTTGCTGTTATAAGCTCACATAGGCAGATCTTGTATATTGTTGTATCTTTACCACACAACATCAGTTCAACTTTTAAGCATTATCTTGGGGGGCACATCAGCGGTGTTGCCTGGTGAGTTAAAAACAGAGGGTAAAATTCCCTTTTAGGTGATTACTGTGAACCAAATAACCTTAACTTCACCTTCTCATTGCTCGTGGTTTGCCATCTTTTCTTTAGTAAATGCCTTTTAATGTAGTTACTTTCTTATGTCTAATGCTTAGTATCTGTGGTTTTTTTATCCTTCTAAATACAGAGCGGTAAAGGTGGAAGGTCCATGCCAAACATCTTGGATGATATCATTGCCTCAGTGGTCGAAAACAAGATTCCTGCCACAAGGCCACCTAAACCCAGCGTAAAAACCGAGCCAAAGGAGGAAATTCCCGAGAGCCGCAAGTTATCCCAGGATGAGAACACAAGGACTTACAGTGATATTCCACATTCTTGGATCTGTGATAGGCACATTCTATGGTTAAAGGATAATAAACATAACTGGAACTGGAAGCTCTTCAGAGAGTGCTGGAAACAGGGAAAGGTTAGTATGCAATGCCTGGGTGATGAATCTGGCTTGGCATGCGGTGTATTTTAAGCACCTTGTGTCAGTAATGTACTACAAGGAGGAATGCCTGCCTGTTTACAGCTTAATATAGAGTTCTGTAAATATCCTATTATGAGCTCAGGAAAACAGAATATGGATTGTGTGTCTCGTATAGCACTGTTAGCTGCAGTTCTGCAGACTAGTCATGTGATCCTTACAGGTTTTGTCACAGTCATGGTCCCTATGGACTTCCCATCAGATAGCAGATGTTTTGGGCTTGTGTATGATGCAATGTTGACTGTACAGTCACAGGGTGTATTTGAACCCCCGCTGTTGGTTCTTACTTTATAGAATTGACATTGTTATACTTTTATCTGCGTTTGTTGGTGATTTTTGTTCATGTAATGCTGTTTAAAAATTGAGGTAAATTGACATTTCATTTTGCCTCATCCAAGCTCATAAGTACTGATGGGTGGCAGTGTTACATGTGATTGACGTTCCAGACTAGAGCTGTCGTCATCATGTGACTTTGCTCACTGACCTAGTACAAAGCATACAGCCGGTGAATTCTGCAAACTCAACTCCCACCCTGTATATTTGTCCCAGATCTGTAATTCACTAGGTAATAAAGCCAAGGACACGTCAGCAATGCAGCCTGTGTATTTCTGTCCTCCGGTTTCCTTTACTTGTGTCACAAAGTATGCTGCGTATGCGATCTTCAGAGCTGGTTCACTTTGTTGTGACACGGAAAGGGATTTCCCCTTCTAACATGAAAAATATTGATGTGGTAAAAGCTGTCATTAACTTAAAGGTCAAATGTCCACATTGTTCTATGCAGTGAAAGCACCTTGTGTCAACGACTCTCGTGTTATCTTGTCTGTTTTTACTGCAGAATCATTCCTTCGAGTTTCCAAAGACTGAGCAAACTTTTACACTGTCCCATGGTTACAAACATTTCCTTAGGAATATGTTGTCTGAAGCTCTAGCTACATATGACGTCTGGTTACAAATAACCTATGTTGTTAGACATTTTGTAGATACATTTGGCTTGGGTCAGAAGTACTTTTTTTTTGGGTGGGTGAGTGTTTAGTAGATTTTGGACATGGGTGTCCATAAAATGCTGAAGTATATAATTAGTGACTTAGGATGGTCATAAAATGTGGGATTTGTGTGTAGTGGAATATATTGGCTGTCAGTATCTTATGGAGAGTTAGAAAATATTTCTTTTAAGGGATGTGCCGATACTGAGCATTTGGGCGAGTACTCGACACCAGAACTTCCAGTCAGAGGGAGATTACCACGCTACCTGGGGATGCCGATATCGATATTTTGTATCCGCGAGTACTGATAAAAAAAATATCGGTAGTCAAATTCTATCCAGAAAGAAACGGTATTGGTGCATCCCTAATTTTTTGGATTCTATAGCCTTACTGACATTGACATTCCCTATTCTGTAAGGACCTCAATTCCTCCGCTGTTAAAATAGGGAGTGCAACAAGGGAAGGAGGAGACAAAATAGTGGGGCTAAGGGAGTATGGTCTGATTTAAAGGAATGTTTTAGTAAATTGCCAAAGCATGTGAATGAGCTTTGAAAAGAATAAGAGGAGAACTAAATATATGCCAGCTGCCATTGCTGACTTACCCTTCTGAAAATGCTTACTTGCTGTCATGCTAATTCTCTAGCTGCATTGCTCTGTGAATCTCTAATCTAGAATAAGTATGCAGATAAGAACCTTTTGTCTTTGTCGAATTTTCTGATTTGCATTCCAGGCAGGTAACTCCAAAGTGCTGATGTTAGTGACCCTATCACCACAGGGTCAATTTTACCTAACAGTCCACCTGTAAAAAAAAAATTATACATATACAGTATATGATCTTATCTGTCTGGAAGTCCATGTATACAGGGCATCTCTGCTCCCCAACTACTACAAGTATCCGATTATTTGCTCCCCCCCTCTGACCACAGTGGTTGCCCCTGCCAGCTTGTACATTCTGTAGACTGCCGGGGGGGGGGGGACAACCCCCCCCAGGCG